GTTCTACAAGAGGTCAAATTAGTGTTCTACAAGAGGTCAAATCAGTGTTCCAGTATCATTTGTCCTGGTTGAAGGATGTTCTAAGAAGTCCGCCATCACATTTTATAGTTCCATGCGATTCTCCAAGTGGAGTTTCTACAATCCTTGGGAAATAAATTGTCATTTTATTGCACTTTTTGTCACCAATGCCACACATTTTTCACCCTATTTGTACAAAACGGACACAAAGCAAAAGCTATCACAGACCAGCTTCCATGGCAACTTGTTCAACATTTTGGAGACTAGCCAGTGGCTTGGGCACACCCTCTAAATAAAGACTGTATACTGTTGCAGTGGTCTACTGGCCACAGAAGGCATATGCAATACACATATGTAGACTTGCATACAGTCCAAATGTGTAAACTGCAAAAAGTATTTTTGAAAGTCAAACCCATAGTCGAGGCTCCAAACACCACTGGCACAAAGTTGCCAGTTCAAAAAATGATTACTTGCATGCAGACTTGTGTTGCCCAACTAGTGTAAGCCTCATCAGTTAAGAGAAATGAAATCACTGCTTGGGAGATCATTCAGCCAAACCAAATATCGGCCTTTTAAATTTCTTGAAATTTTGCAATTTCCAAAACTGCCAACTTTAATTAAACTAGGTCCAGTACTAAACAATCTACCAGTAAGCATTACAATGACTATTCCCAACACTAATGGACCAGAAGAAAATCATACTACAGCACCGAAGGGTATAGATTGATATTGAACATGTTCAAAATGAATCATTTGTACAAAAGTACAATGTCATAATGGTTATACCGGGCAGCATCCACCAAAGTAGGCAGAGTAGACTCATCCATCACTCAACTGGTGAGAGTGATATAACTGGGACAAACGTCTTGCACTCTCCACCACTGCAGACTACAATTAGATGCATAGACATGCCCAATTTAAACACTATGCTAAAACAAGTGTTAACGCCACGACGCAAGGCAAGGCAAGGCAAGCATACCAGAGTCCTATGACCCCCCCCCCCCCCACCACCACCATAACCAAAACCAAGTCATCACAGATCGCAGGGGCAAAAGCCCTACATCCCTGCCAGTAAACAAAGAACATAAATATTTAGTTTCTTATAACTTTATTGGAACAAATATAAAAAAAATAACTTTGTAAATAGATAAAGTTAAAAACACTTGACAATTTGTTACTGTACAATGACACTTGGAAACGCTACACAAAAGTATTTTGTACACAACATTGGCAGTAATAAGAACTTAGTTACCCAGCATGCATTTCACTGTCAGGAGGTAATTTGTTGCAAACCATGGCAGTGACCATTGGGGCAAATAAAAACTAACAAGTTGTGCACAGTAAATATTAAAAGGGGCAAGGGAAATTGTTCTTGATCGTTTATGGCAGCTGTAATTGGTATGACATTGGAAGAAATATTCAACAATTACTGTTTTGGTTGAAAAGATTGACATGACAGGATCTTAATCTTGTCCAACGATGAATAATATTTTGCTGCATTAGGATGTTAAAGAAGATCTATATCTGGCAGTTCTATTGGTTCATAATCTAGCATTCCTTTTGCAAAATCATCCATGTCAAATAGAGGTGAAACATCATCTGGAACAAAAAAAATGTACAAATACTGTCGTAAATTACATACTGTATAATCTCTTGAATAGGCGTCACTAATTTAGGCGTTGAGAAAGAATGAAAGGCCTTAATCTAAAACAGGCGTCACAAAATGTTGAAAAATTAGTCAATCCAAAAAACTGTTCACATGAACAAAAAAAAATACTCAGTATATTTAATGTAATATGCATTTTTTTTTTTTTTTGGTAACAAAAAATATATTATAACTAAAAGAAGTTTCAAATAAAAAACAAGACTGCATTGCTTAGTAGCAAGTAATCTCGGTGCGGTAGTGCATTCCGGTTATGCAGCTTTTCACTGATGAATAATATGCTTGTTTTCGAAGTGTTGGAATTGTTGATTATTACTCAGTGATTATGGTTTCTGGTCAACTCGACCCCCGTATTAGTGTAGGTATTGGCGGTGTCAGTGACACACTGCGTTGTCGATTTCACCTACCACGTGTGCGCCATGGTTAATGGCGAGTATGTTGTTGATTTCACTAACTTGCGTACAAACATGGCACCCATCCTAGCAGCTTCACAACCGTGCAGCAGAATTTGAGTGGACAAGTGTATCGATAAGTAGATTCATGCCATTTACCTGACCAGAGTGGTTGTGGAAAATGTGGTAACGGAATAACAGCAGTATTTTATAATGATGCCGTAAAACGAGGCACCGATTTCAGCTGGAAATGTACTCTGTGTTTAGTAGCTGAAGTGGTCAACCAAAGAAGAGTCAATGATGCCAAAATAGACCCTGTCACCCCAGATTCAACCCCATTAGCTGATCCAGTCAACGATGTTGAAATGAACGTGAAAATTTCATATGAAATTCCAGGCCAGACTTGCTAAGGTACTTTATCTGGTGATGATATAGATGGTGATCAGCCTAAAGCCTCAGCTATGTCTTATGAGTTGATACCTGGTGCATCCCAGCGTCGCAACGCAATATTAGCTGATAGCATGGGTTACCGGTATCAACTTAAAAGTGACAAAAGGTCCCAGACAAAAATTGGAGAATGCAGTGCTCAAACAGACAAGACCATCATTTGTCGAAACGTGGTGTTGCAGACGGGTGATAATTTTGTCCCCGGCATGTATGGACACAACGACTCTGGTCAACCTGGTATCTCAGAGCGATTGAAAACAGAAGATGAAGTGAAGAAGAAACAGACAATTTATTTAAATCTGCCAGTACACTATACGAGCAGGTACTTTCTAGAAGAACAGCAATCTGGCACAGTCATCAGCATGTATACCTGACAGAGCCAATCTAGTCAAAGTTGCAAATCATAAAAGACAACACATGCGTCCAGAAGAACCCAGTGACCTTGATTTCGATATTGCCTGCGACTTTATTCCGTCCGTCCAACTTCCTGCAGAAAGACATCATCATTTAGGGCACACGTCATCTAGTTTTCTCCACCCTGGATCAACTTGAAGTACTGAGCAGTGCGAAGTCATGGTATATGGATGGTACTTTCAAAAGTCCACGAACCATTCTACCAGTTATTTTCTATTTATGCATTTGTGAAGGATGGTGAAGGCTATGTAAAACAGGTTCGTTTACTATTCACAGTTATGTCACGGAGGGAGAACAAAGCTGACAAGAAGATCCTGAAAGCAGTGAAAAGAGCAGCACCAAGTTCCAAAATTAAAAACTTTGGATTAGATTTCGAAGCCGGTTTATGGGGTGCTATCAGATCAGTATTTCCAGAATTAGAAATTCAAGTTTGCCGTTTCCATTGGTTAAGGCAGTATACAGAAAAGTTCAGCAATATGGTTGGACAACTGAATACAAAGACAAACAAAGTGACAGTGGTAAAATTATCAAACAATACATGGCACTCCCTTATCTTTCACACGAATGCATTCCTGCAACGTTTACAACGCTAAAGGATACAGCAACACCAAATCTGGATAGACTGGTAGAATATATTAGATAAACATGGATCGATAACACTATCTGGAAGCCGTCTTTATGGAGTATTTTCATGAAAAGTACCCGCACCAATAATGACGTACAAGGCTGGCATCGAAAATTAAATGGTAAAGCTGGGCGTAGTTATCTCCAATTATATGTTATTATCCATGTTCCCACTCCTCCATGAAGAGGCTCTGCTAACCAGTATAAATGAAGCTCGTGATGGATGGTATACTCAAACGGCAGGGATCTCGCCGTGGTGGTCGGCCCCGACCGGCACTCAAAATTAGCGACCACCACGAAAATGTTTCCGACCGGGACTATTGTCCGATTGTTATTATAATTATGTACCAACCGACACGCATCCTGTCAGTCGTGGATTATAATTTGTGAACAATAGACCTAGACGCACGATACGTAGCGGCTAGTCAATTTTGTGAAACTTTTGTGAAAGTAAATACTTTCTGTGATAGACACAGTCTTTAGATATAAAGCTAAAATTCTTTCAAAATCAATTTCACCCCGATATAACATGGTCAAAGCGGAGTTCACGATCTGACAGTTTACGCTATTCAAGAAGAAAAATCAACATGTTTATTGCGTGATTTGGTAAAACACATTTGAACTGTTATCATCGCGATTCATGTAAAAACTCTTCTTTCAAGACCTATTTTACCTTTTAAAAATTGCCAATCACCTCTTTCGATAACAATCATGAACGGGAAAACTTCGGATTCTACCGGCATTACCATGCCACATTCTGATTGGTTAATGGAATTATTGAACCATCGGGTCAAAGAACACATGCCGGTCAACTAATACGTCACAAACATCATGGCGGGCTGTTTTTTATTGAAGCGATCGAGTGATCAAAAATATCCACTCTTGATAAAACTAAGTCAAATTTTACTTTTATTTCTTATCAAAAAAAACGAAGTAACATTTTTTGCTTGGCATCATAACTGAGTAAGAGAAATTATTGGTATAATTGGTGTATAACATCACGAAGTAAGTTATGTCACGTCGTAACTTTGAAAGTTTGGAAGTTTTATTTGTTCGTTCATTACTGTGAATATATACGCTTTAGAAATAGATGGTACGAATAATAAATTACAACAATACTCCAAATAATTGAGTGTTCGATTGTTTGAAGGAGAATGTATTTGGAGTGAATAAGATCGTGAAAATATTCTTGGCTGAAACATTTCAAATGAGTTTTATTTAACTTTTTACAATAGACATTAATATTGCAACAATAATTTATTTGCTTCTGTTTTTTAGTCTGCAGCATTCACATTTCGAATACATTTAATTTTTAAATTCAAACTCTTCTAAATTGTGAAAGATAATGTCTTAATTTCAAAAATATGTGCACTGCGACGTAACTCATTAATATTCATTGCAAATTAATATTTATATAGCTCGTTAATATTCATGACCGACCGGCACTCGTGTTGGGCTGTCGAGATCCTTGGACGTTATCAGAGAAAAAACTACAGAAGACTTAATGTTCGCTTATTCGACCTATGGGAAAAGTACAACGATTGTGAAATAGATGCAACAAATCTATGGAGATCTTATAGCAAGCTGAATAGACCACACACTGTTTAAAAAAGTTTTTATTTAACAGAAGAAATCATGTACTTTTAACAATTTCTGGGACAATTAAAATTGTGAACTTTTTTTTTAAAAAACTTGTGAAAATTTTTTTGACAATGTTCGAAAAAAGATTACTATATACCATGGAAGTCTGATCCAGTGCAATCTTGTGTGACAAACAATAATATGCTACCGGTCGTGTGCGGCACTTTTTAGTCACAATTTTGTGAGCAATGTAGTAAGATATATACGTTGTTTCACCGCTGAATAAAGTTCCATTGACAATAGATCTGCTTCATATCTATTCTAGGAAACCTTCAAGTGTTTTTGTGGGACACGTTCAAGTTTATATTTTACTTAACCACAACTATCGAAAAGAGATATGCCGTACGAGAAGACCTCTGAATAAATGGTTGATCCCTGTCTAACTTCCGTTGCATGATAAGCACGTGCGAAATTGTGAAGCTGCTAGGTCTGGTGCAATGTTGATTTTTCGCTTGCTTGCTCGCTCGCTCGCTGTAGTGTATGTTGGGGCCACCTACATAGGTATAGCATAAGTTAGTCAAATCGACAACGTACTAGCCATTAACCATAGAGCACACGAATCTGTGAAATCGACAATGCAGTGTGTCACCAACACATGGACAATACCTACACATAGATATGGGGGTCGAGTTGACCTGCTAAATTCGTTGAATTATTATGAAATGCAAATAAAATTCAACTTAGTTGCACTGTAAGCGAATGATTTCAGTCACATGTAAAAGCTTGATGCGATACAATACCCGCCATGTTGGTTCATGCATACAAGTGACCTGCAACTGTTTTTTGACCTGATAGGTCACTAATTAACCAATCAAAATGCTGGATGGCGTCAACGTGTTCGAATTACCATAGCTCATTTAAATATGTTAATGACAGTTCAGTGACTTCATGGTTAACGCAACACAAAAGAGATTTACCGTTGTTATAATGCGATTTTTTGGCTTTGATTTTGATGGGAAAAACGAGATGATTTTTTTAAATCAATAAATTAGTAGTTTTCAAAAAATTAACTGAGCATTGAAAAAGAATTTAAAAATTTTGTTTACGGTGATAACAGCTCATTGTTGAAATGCAGTTCATCCATTCTTGATCTGTTCTGCTTTCAGGGCTTGAACTTTTTGGAGAAAGGCAATTGCCTCGATTTCCAATGAGTTTGTCTTGTGCTTTTGATATTCTGTTACCCCTATGTGTTAAGGCCATTTTATAAATTTTGACCTTAAAAATAGGTACCCTTTCAACCAATCTGATTAAAATCTGATGTAGTATACGGGCTTTAACTATTTTGGCTATAAACTTATTTTAATTTTATGTTTTATTACTTTTGTTATTAATGCCTTTTTATTTTATTATTTTACTTTGATTTTGTGATTTTTTTTTTAAATTCCGCCCCTACATACATCTGAGCCGATGCCTATGTAACGAGATTTCAACGAGACCCACTGTCGACGATTTTAGTCAACGAATCACAGACCTTCTATAGCGCACATGATGACGTCACTGGGCAGAGTCAGGTGGCAAACACACTCAAATAAAATGGCGGATAATACCGACGTTAGCGACCGAGAAGAACACGGCTTTTCGGTAAGTTTATCATTGTCAAATGCAACGAAAGTCATTTTTTTTATGTTTATATTGTGGTTCGAGTTTAGATCATTATTTTGTGTAGTTATTCTGGGAGTGACGATTTTGTTTCCACCGGTTCGACCGAACACCGGTGTTTTTTTCCAGTTGCTTGCCCTGGAGACGGGTAATGTTTTGTTGACGATCGGGTCAAAACCGTCTACGTTATTGAAGCCGTAGCTGTAAATATTCATCAAAATGTATCAACATTTTGTACATTATACAATAACTCTTTATTAAAGTAATTGAGCTGATTTGGACTGGAATAAAATATTTCTTATTTGGAACACATTGCAATTGATCAGGAAATATTTTTTTGCTCCAATTTTCTGCGTCGATGCCGTGGGCCGGTGACCGTTATACAATTTAAAATTTGCATTGTTTACTATAGCTGTTTACAGTGTTCTAATCATTACGATTTACTTATTTTTTTGCTTCCATTCTAGATAATTATGCTCAGTGTTTGATGTAAAATTGAAGCGATGACTGAATAAACGAACCTTGGCTGGCGAAGATGTATCAGGAAGTGT